AACAGAAGATTTGCATTAGCAACGGGATAATTTAATGCCACATATGTGAAACAGAAAGGGAATATATAGTTCATGCAAAAGTGCAGAAGCATGCTAGAAATTCTAGAAAAGCACGGCCTCAGAATAAATTCAAAGTACTGTTTCACGGCCCAAACGAGTGACACAAACGTGGTTAGAAAACATATTTGAAAACGCTAAAGTCGGACTCACTATATATCAACGGTCGATCTATGTTAGGTTATAAAATATTTGCAGGAAATAAAGGGAAAATTCAGAAGAACCAAAAGCTGTAGACGGCAACTGGGGGTCAATCCTTTTCTAACCACTGTGCAGACAACTATCATTAAAATAATAAAATAAAAACCTCAGTAACTTTTAGAGCTATATTTCCGATTTAAAATATGAACAACGATTACCTTGGTTGAAACGATCTAAGGGACTGAATGAATGATGCTCTCGTCAAATGATCATAGCCCAAAAAAGGAATCGACACCTCCTTCTTGCTACCCTCAGGGGAACCAGCCGATTGGTTCCTAACGGCTTGACGAATCCAAATACCCTGTTTTTGTCCAGACAAAAGGTTTGCTTTTGAAGCAAAAGCAGAAGCTTTCTGGTAAACAGAGCTATTCGGCTCGGGACCTCGGTATCCACCTCTAGAGGCACGTACAGAAGTGTTAACAAATAGCATCTTCAAAACACTAGCAAAAGCATGCAATAAAAACTGCTCACAAACTAAATTGGTCATTTAAACTGAAACTGACAAAGCATTAAATTAAAGAGGATAAAAATAACTCTACTCCAAGGCTAGAGCCGCGACTGTCAGCCGACAAAAAAAATTAATTTCAACTCAGGGACCAGTCAAAAACTCATTCAAACATTTGTTAAACTGATACATGTTGCTGGAAAATTAACTACCTCTCTGTTCGAGAAAAAGCTCATTTTAAAAAACCCGTTGTCTAATTTCCCTTAAGAGCAATGTTGTTCCCTCTTAACTTGATTCCCTTACTAAATTCAGTAACGGCCACGTTAAACAAAAGCCTTCAGTCTGAAAATAATTGAAATTATCCAATACTTCTAAAAAATTCAAAACACTGTTACTAGTTCGGTAGTACTGCCTTAGTTAAAAGAATTATATAGCAAATCATTGCTAAAAGAACGAGAATAGCAGCGCGATGAAAGCAAAATACCAATTTTTTTCACTTCCAATACAGACAGGTAACTTTAATACTCATAGGCAGCTTCAAAAAATATGGCACAACGTCCCATCAACAACTTAATCAAAAAACGATTTGTTGGCAACTAAATACTAATAAACTTGTAAATGCTAACTCTACGAGTATTTTTCATAGGTAAAAACAGTTAAAAAACATAAATTCAATGAGGCTGATGGAAATAATAAAGATAAAGTAGCTACAACTCACTGTATAAAAGATTATCTCATGTATCTATAAGAAAACATCAAATATTATTGCTCTAAAAAATGCCAGGTTTCGAAAACCTTCAATGCTAGATTTGTAAAAAATCTTTTCAGTCTTCATCAAATAATTTGGTCACATTCAAATGCGTGCAAGACGTGAACCAGCAACTCACTTGCAGAAAAACTATGTGAAGGGAAGTAACAAAAAACACACCAAATAACGAAGATTGCTAGCAAAGCTAAGATAGCGACACCAAAAGAAAGATACTTACGATTCCGTCGAATAAGAATTAAACGAAGATGAGCCCGATGAAGCAGCTGTCTTTGCTTAAAAAAAGTACCATATAAAAAAGCCAGAAGAAGTACAGCCACATGAATATTATAAAATTTGTATATTTCTATATTTTTTACAAATTTGACAAACACTTTGATCCATACCTGCCAGTCTGACCTAACCTACTCAACTAATTTCTTTTAACGCCTTACTTCTCAATGAAGGAGATTTCTGACTAGAAGACGAAATAGATGAAGAAATACTTTGGAGTCGACCGCTATTTGTACCAGTTGTAGAGGTTCCCGGAGAAGAACCAGAAGCCCCAATTCGCTGACCGCCGTTCTCAGTTGATGTCCTCATTCGACTCGTTGAAACACTGAAAAAGTTCGCAAAACGTTATATGTCCCATCGTATGTTATTATCACGCGCTTTGAAAAGATCATAGAAAGAATAAAATTTATTACTAAACAAAATTTTAGAATTAATTTACCTGTAACGGTCAGGCTTCGAGCTCGGACTCGGTTCTCCTCCACCAAGCCGTTCAAATTTGTTCTTTTGACTCAAGGAGGAGTAGCTTTGAGTACTGCTAGAAGAGCTTGCTGATTCTAGAGACGTACTGGGTTTCTCATAAGAGAGAACTAGACTAGATACGTTGCTTCCATGGCTCTCTAAAAGCATTTGTAAACTTCCAGTCCTTAAAGACAAACTGGCAATCAACAGCGTACAAACATATGTAGCCACTTAAACTATACTTGCAACTCTTCAACCATGGCGATAAAATGTGAAACAATTAAGCGAATAAATAAGTTTAAAAGATGAACATAATTTAGTGTCAGAAATATCTTTAAAGAAAAACGAAGAGGACAAGACAAAGTTAAGAATCCAGTTCCCAAAATATAAATGGAATGAAAATGTGATATTTTCTAAACTAACGTTCACTTCGTTCATAGAAGTGAGGAGCTGTTCGTTGGCGAGTGGGACTACGATTCATAGCGGTAACGGATCTGGAACAATAAAGAACTAAAGTGAAAAATTGCAGTAATAAGAAGAAAGAAAGTAATATGGCAAAAAAAAAAAAAAAAAAAAAAAAAAAAAAA